AAAATAACATCAAAATCCTTCATAGGCATGACAACGAAAGGAAAAGGAAGCCTATGGTCGGCGACCTCTATATCACATCCTCTAACACCTTGTTTCAAGATTAACTCACCACCAATAGGCGATACCACACAAATAGGAGATGCTAACTGTGCCAACTCCAATTTCAAAATAGATGCAAATGCAGCAGATACAAAAGAATGAAATGCACTCGTGTCAATCAACACACTAGCAACCGAGTTGCAAAACAGAAAAGTACCTCTCACTACTGATGGAGCCGGTACTAGATCCTGCGCGGTAACCGCATACACGCGCCCTGTAGGCCCCTGATCCAACTGCTCACCTCTAGGAGCAAAAGACTGTTGCACAGACTGGGATAACGAAGCTCCCGGGTTGGCCCTCGAGGCCTGCGCAGACTGAGCTGGCTGAAAACTCTGCGTTTGCCTAGAACCAGACGCTCCCGAAGTGGCACTCAACTGCGGGCAAAACCTCTTTAGGTGCCCGGGTTGACCACACTGATAGCAAGACAAGGACTGGCCCCTGCCCTGACTTTGGCCCTGTGGTCTAGCTGATGAAGAAACAACTTGCTGACCCCCTCCCTTCTGCGGGAAAACCAAAACTTTGTGACCCAGCTGGCCACACTTATAACAGGTGAAATCCCCCTGACTACCTCTCCCGGAGCCTGCACTCGGCACTGGGAAGGTCGACCTAGCCAAACCACCCTGTGACTGCTGAGGGTTAGAACCCCTCTGTCTCTTACCATCACCCTGACCATCTTGGCTCCTCTTGGAGCCTCTCTGCCCCTCATCCTCCTCCTGCATCATGAGCTCCATATGAGCTGTAACATCCACCAACCGTCTATACTCTCGGATGAAAGACCCATCAACCCTCAACTTGAGGCCTCACCTCAACTTCCGCTCGAACTCAAAGCAACGGCGTTCTTCGGACGCCACCAGTTCAGGTGCAAACCTGGACAGACTGGTAAAAGTAGCCTCAAACTCGGTCACTGACAAGCCCTGCTGTTTAAGCTGGCAAAACTGTTTCCTCAGCTTCTCCTTTGCAGCTGAAGATAAAAACTTCTCCTGGAAAGCATTCACAAACGCCTCCCATGCACCACCAACACTGCCCTTCTCGTACTTCCACCATTGACCCGCATCTCCCTTCAGTTAGAAGGATGCCAAGGTCACTTTCAATGCTCCGTCCTCGATGCCAAGCATCTCGAACGTCTTCTCTATCTTTTCCAACCACTCGTCAGCCTTAAGTGGCTCCTTCGGATCCCCAACAAACTCGTCCGGGTTAGACCGGAAGAACTCCCTCTTCAAGAAAGAAGGGCCTGCCTCAACTGCCTGATTCCCTGCTCTGAGAATACCCAAAGCTCCTGCTATCTCTCAGGCCAAGGCGCCCATAGCCTGTTGACCCGTTGGCTCGGCCACGTTGGCCTGACCAATTCCTTCCTGCACTGCCGGAACGTCATCCGATAGAGGCACCTCCTGCCTACCATGCCTGCCACGTCTACCACGCCCTCGTCCTGACATCCTAATAAAGGTAACCAAGACTATTAGCACATTCACAAATGTGCCGAAGCTATACACGCGCGTCCTAATTCATGGACAACTGTAATTCACTCCACGTAAGCACATAAACACATAAGCACTTACGAATTTCATTTCCGGATGATGATAGTCCCGAGGCGTTACTAGAGTTCCGGTTAGAAACGACATTGATCAAGTGCCTTTCCAACAAGACTCCCAGAAACCCAAGGATCCAATCAACATCCTAGAAATTAAATCCCATACCCATATAAACACATAAGCATGTTATCAATTTAAATACATAGCATATGACACTACATCTAAGTCTCTATCAAGCGAGACAAACCCATTGTGATACTAATCACTTCTCAGGTGCCCAAAGTATTCGAACCCGGTACACTCTGATACCAAGTTGTAACGCCCTCAAAATAATAACAATAAACCCATCAATACAGACATACATTTATATACAAAAGATCCACATTCTTCAATTCATCAGGGTACTTCATTACAAAAGTATTACATGTTAACGACAAAAGCAAATGCCCTACGGGCTTACACCTTTCCAAGTTAACACTTGGTTACAAAAGTGTGTACTAACTCAATTACATATTAAGCCATTGGCTTGAATTTACATATAATACATCAAAAGAAATAAGACAACAAAAGTGTGTCCGCCTCTAGCCTCCCAAGCTATGTCCTTGGAGGTGGCATGCTACCTGTACCTGAAAATGATGTTCCCATATAGGGTGAGCCACAGCCCAGCAGAGATATACTAAACCAACTATGAACAACGACTAAAAGATTAGCAATTGATAGATGGCCAACACTGATACATCCACATATCTCACGTCACAATTTCATAACATACGAGTCTATGTCACTTTTCATCCTCCATCTTTATTTAATAGATAAGCATATTAGCTATATTAACACATCAACAGATAAACATATTACGCATCAACAGATAAGAATATTAGCTGTATCTACATCAACAGATAAGCATATGAGCTGTATCCACACTTCACTAGACAAGCATATGAGCTGTATCTACACTTTTCAAAGATAAGCCTATGAGCTGTATCTTCACTTCTCTAGACAAGCATATGAGCTGTATCTACGGAGTTCATCCCCCATCTCCTCCCAACACTATCCGGTTTAGAGGTACATCCCCCATCTTCCCCTAAACCGCGGAGTACATCCCCCATCTCCTCCTCTACACACAATGCATATAAACACAAGGGTTCTATACACAATCAATCAATACATAAAATTAATGTATTCTATCCATCGTCATACTCTATGAAACATTCAATTGATTAGTTTTAGTTTGCCTAATCATCATGCATTGTCTACAATAATCAAGACTATCCTCCACCGATAGCCCAAAGCAGTTATTTCTAAACAAAAAATAAATGCACAAAAATGGATATTAAATCAACATTTCAATTAGGTGAGCGATAAATGATCCAACCACACCCTTTAACCCCTTCCCTTTCCAATTTCCACATTCTCAAATCAATCTCTCATTTCCAACAATTAATTATACAAATTAATCAATTAATGTAATTAGGGCATTTTTCATAATTAACGTTACAACCCTTAGGTTCCATTTTCATTAATGTTTCAACATTAATTTCACTTTTCCATGCCAAACATGCATTTAGGTTTTATATAAATAAAAACCCCAACTTTTGTAAAATTACACAAAGGCCCAAACTCTCTCAAAATTACCCAACAACCCCCACCATATCAAAATGCAAAAATTTAAAGACAAAGCTCATAAAGATGAGTAGGATATCCCTACCTCGAAGTTAGAGCTCGGATGGAGAAGAGACCAAAACCAAAGTGCTCCAAAGACCAAGATTCTCGAATCAAAACGACGACCTCAACGATCAACACAACTTTTACAAAGGCCGAAGGTGAGGAACTCACTCCTACTAGATCAATACTTAGAGAGAAGTCAAGGTTTTAGAGAGAGGGGCTCTCAAAATGGGTTTTAGAAAAAGTAGGAGAGAGAAAGAAAAGCAAAAAGTGATTTAAAATCACCCAGCGGATAACTCATATACGCATAACCCGCTCGAGCGAAGAACACAACGCTCGAGCGCCAAGAACAAAAATCTGAACACGCTCAAGCGCAATAAGGCCCGCTCGAGCGCCAAGACACAAGAATAAAGCACTTCCGCTCGAGCGCGAAATCCAGTCCGCTCGAGCGTAGATTTCCCCCTCCCAGAACTTATACCCAGAAAGTACTACCCGCTCGAGCGCCAACAAACCTGCTCGAGCGCTACCGCTCGAGCGTAAAAATCACATCTGCAGAAGTTTTGCAGGAACACAAAATACTAGAGGTGTGCAATCCCCGCCCGAGCGCAAGAAGACCCGCTTGAGCGAATCGCCTAAAAACTGAACAACAAGGAATTGAAACCAAGGCCTAACCAACCTGTAACAACCTTGCTCAAAACATCCTAAAACTCAATCAAGTGGAATTAAAGGACGACAACAAGATAGATACCACTACCAACTTCAAGGAACCGAGTCCGAATTACAACAGAATGGTAAAGGGACAACCAGGATCGCTATAGAGGGAGTGATATGACAACTTACAGTGACTTTTTGACCAAAATAGTTACTCCCCAAGTGAGGCCTAAGCCCTCAATGTATAAAAAGTGTTTCATTTTGGTCCCCTAACTTAACTTTGTCTGTAGACTTCATTAAATTTAGGGGTAAATGCAGAAACTCAATTAAAAAAAAATACACTTTTAGCTCCCAAAGTAGTGATCCGTGTCATTTTGGACCCCCATGTTTAAATTGTGTTAATTTACTACCCAATTTATAAAAAGTGTTTCAATTTGGTCCCCTAACATAATTTTGTCTCTTTCCATCTGAACTAGGGGTAAAGCGTTAAAATCATAATTACATATCTGCTAAAAACAAAAAAAAGAACCAACATCTTTAGAAGGAAATATTCCTGCCATCCAACATGTATATATATGTTGCTTCCGACATTTGCAAGCCCTACAGATGTGTGTATAGAGAAATTAGGGTTTAGGTTTTTATCCAAAAGAGTAATTTGTTTGAGGGACAAAACTGTAATAGAAAAATTAGAAGATGGTGTGGGCACTGAGAAAATGAGGGGTGTGCAAATAGAATTAACTAGACTAAAAATGTGTTTTTATTAATTGAGTTTCCACATTTACCCTTGACTTTAACAACACTTCCAGATAGAGTTAGGTTGGGGGACTAAAGTGAAACACTTTTTTATACATTAGGGACAAATTTTAGACATTTGTGACCAAAAGACAAATTGCATACTTCAGGGACTAAAAAAGTAAAAAACCCTAGAATAAATTTAACTTTGTTTTTTTTTTCTTCACTATTATTTGATTATCACTTTTGTTGCTTATCACTTTATACCTTCATCATACCCATATAAATGATATACTTCTGATTTTACGCTTTCTTAACCTTCAGACTGCACATTGAAGGAATCTCATGATCCATTAGATTCTGGGCTAAAATGGTAGAAGAGCTGTCTGCGGACTGCAGTTGAGTACCTTAGCGTTTTTTCTTTTCTTTTTGAAATCACATTCTATCATGATTACCAGTTTGTTAAAAGAACTTGGGGTTGTCAAGTTATGAAATTAGTGGTTACAAAGTGATTTTGTTTTCTATACAGAGGGCAGACAAATTACATAATCTTCACAATGAGAGTAATATACTTGATGTCTCTTCTGGGATCTTGCATCTGGCTGGTGATTCATTAGTTCCTGAATCTATCAATAAGAATTGTCTGGAGGATGCCAAAGTTCTCCAACAGGTGAATAAGAAGTTCATTCCAATTGTGGGTGGTGGAGTGCTTGCTATATTGACCAGGTTTAAGCACTGCACTTCTTTCTTTCTTTTTTTCTTCTTGAGATCCATCTATCTCATGTTTTTAAATTTTTGAAAGACCGTAGCCAAATGATATATTTAGGTAGTGTTCTATTCACTGGAATAGAATGGAATGGAATTATCATTACATCAAAATATCCATTCCCATGTTTAATTGACTAAAAAATATATTGCAAATGGAATCATCATTCATCATTGTAATGGACTGATCATTCCATAGGGGAGCCTAAGGAATGATTATTCCATTCCATTCCATCTTATTCTAGTGAGCCAAATAGAACATTAGTTCACAAGTTAAAACATTATGCTATGGACGTTGTAATTGTGGACTATTTAGTACCTCTGTTGCATGGACTCGCTGGATTAGGGCAGAGTACCCGTGTCGACACGATACGACATGGGTGCGGGTGTGAGATATGTGTCAGATTCGGCATGGGTTTCTTGGACATGGCTGACATGAGAGGAGAAAGAAGGGTTGTTGAGAGAAACTTACAGTGGAGCAGTGGTAGCAACAGGGTGAAGATCTATGTCGATTTGTGTCTCTGTGTCGTCTTGTCTCTGTCTTCATCTATGTCGATCTCCTCTTCTCTCTCTCGGTCTTCTCTTCTTCATCATCTCCTCCTCCTCTTCTTCTTCTTCTCTCTCTCTCTCTCTCTCGTCCGAATTTGTGTTCTCTATCTCTCCCCCCCCCCCCCTCCCTCCGTTTTTAACATCATATAAAATAATATAATTGTTATTATAATAATAAATCTTAATTAAATCATATATAATAAAAAAAAATCTATTAAAAATAAATCATCCAAATTTTTATTTTTATTTATTTTAACATATTTTATTATTTATAATATATATATATATATCAATTAAAAATAAAAAAATAAATTATATAAATAAATTAAAAATATTATCAATAAAAATAATACATAAGATAAAAATAATAAATATATTTAAAAATAACTATTTAACTCATCTTTATATAATAAATATATTTAAAAAATAACTATTTACCGTATTCCCGTACTCGTATCCAAATTTGGATCCATATTTATGTATTTTCAATTTTTAATTTTGAAGTATCCGACCCCTAGATGTACCTGCACCTGTGCCCGCACCCAATATCTACACCCGAGTCCGTGTAACATGGTTTAGTACTGCTTCTCATGATTCTCAGTCGAGGCCTATTTTATCTCGGCAGAATGTTCAATGACACCAATTGTTGAGATGTACATAGCACAGGAAATCTTAGAAGTGGATTGAGGACATGGAATGGTTAACAGTTTCTCATATGAGAATCTTGTAACTGGGAAATCGTGTCAGCATTAGCCAGTAGATGCCTGGTAGTATATATACATCTACATGCAAACATGTGTGGGCTTGATTCGTGTACATACCAACACACATAATCATATTTATTGGCTTAGGGTTTTGGAGTCTGCTTCCAGCATTTGGCTGCATTTCTTACTTTGCAAGTGATTGTCTTTTACAGCACCCTGCAGATGAAAGGATCCGCTTGGAAGAACTACGTCAGAAGGTAAAATGCTTTTGTAGTTCAAACTTTTTAAAATGACAAATCCAGTGTGGCTAATAGACTAGTGAAATTCGTAGGTGCTATCTGGAGAAATGAAGATAGTCACTTACCTAGATACTGAGCAAAAATTGGTATTTCCATTTCACAGTATATGTCGGGGTTCTATTACAGCCCTAGATGCTGTGCCAAGTTAAACATTTATCTGAAAATTTTTAGATCTTCACTATTGATTTTTATTGTTTTCGAAACTGTAAACAGGTCCTGCCTGAAATAGGGTATCAGTTGTTGCACAACTATGCTGATCAGATTCAAAATTGGGGTTGGCTCTGCAACATTCGTTCTCTGGGTTCAAGGTCTTTTAAAAAGTAATTTTTCTGTGTTCTGTGTCTAGAAAATCTTTAATTAGTACTGTTGATCTATGTGTCAATCATTATGTGAATGACCTTCAAAGATATTAACCCCATACCAATGTTGGTGAACAAGTCTGTCAGATTTTTGTTTGTGCTGATGACTTTGGAGAACCTTTTGGATCTCCTGCTTCATATCTTTCGTTGAGGATTTGCTGGGATGATTTTTTTTTTTCCCCGCTAAATGGATGGTGTTAGAGAATGCATGATATATTGCATTTGTCTTGTTATACAATTCATCTTTTAAATTCTGAGATTTTTTTGGTGTACACCCTTTTGTGTTTTTACAGGAATCTGAATCTTCTACACAGGCAGCCAACTGTTGTCACACTTAATGCGGTGAAGAACATTCCTGTCCCTCTCTCTCTTTCTCTCTCTCAGCCATTGAACTTCTTTTACAAGCTTAAATTTTTTTTTCTTGATTGTATTACTAGTTAGTCTGTCAACTACGTACATATACATGCATATATAGAGGAAAATATTATTGCCAGAGAAGTTATTGTTATTACTTCCATAGACATACACATTGACCAACCAGGTGCTTTAAATGTTTAAGTGTCCTCAATGTTGTATATTTACTCAAGATGTATAACATTATTGACATAGTTCAGAGATCCGCAATCTCTATTTTGTCTCATTATTGAATATCACAATTACTTTAATGTGCAGGTGCCGTGTATTGTAGGAGTCAATTTGACTGATGTAGATCTCTTGGAATTTCTTCAACAGGTAATACAGAGAAGTTTTTACAGTTCCATTTCCATGATTTTTTTGGAGTTTATTGATTCATCATTTATTATCTAAAATTTTCCCAAACTATATTTGTTGATTTTCTCACTCCAGTTTGTATTTGTGATCAACAGCTTGCTGATACAGATGAATCATCAACTATACCGCCATCCGTTCATCGGGTCCTTAACTCCAAAGCGTGTAGAGGTATAATAACCTCAATCTTAAGGAAAAATGCTAGTCTGTGTAAAAGTTGCATTAGTTACCAATCATCCACAAATTAAGTTATTTAATGCTTTATGCGAGGTGATGCTTGTCCACAAAATATTCTCATATGGACTAGTGTCATTTGCCATTTGCCGTGGTTTTTCTTTCTTGCTTCCTGATACATCTCAAATTTCCAGCATGTTAGTAACTTTTTAGCTGCACCGGAGTTGTATTTCCTGCTCTTAAAAGGGTGAAAGCTTCTTTCTTGGGGATTATGTTCTTAATTTTGCTTATTGGTTTTACTATTTAGGTGCAATAATGTTTGGGGACACATTGCTACCTTCAGAGTGTTCCCTAATTGTGGAAGAGCTGAAGCAAACATCATTGTGTTTCCAAGTGAGTTGACAGTACCCTAGTCTATTTGTCAATCAATACAAAAAATTGAGAGTTTGTTTTGCTTAGCTGAGAGAGAGAGATTGCTTAGCTGCATTGTTGATAATTCTGGAGAGTTTGTTTTGCAGTGTGCTCACGGGCGACCAACAACTGTCCCTCTTGTCAACTTGGAGGCATTGCATAAGCAGATAGCTAAGCTTGGATTGTGGAATGGTGGTTCTAATGAATTGTGGCATGGGTTACATCAGCATGAACCCAGTTTAGAACGTGCAGCACAGCGTTTGAGCTCTGCCAGAGGTCTGTCTTGATGAGTAACCAGTTGGTTTTCCAGATTCAGTGGTGGCTGTGGTTCTCCACCAACGCGCCTTTTTTCCTTGCCATTGTGAACCCATTCTTTCAATTTGTTATGTATAGTTCTCATTCTGACCGCTGAAGTACCAATAATATGTTGTACCAGTGTAACAGAGTCGTTTGTAGTTTGTAACGACAGTTATTTGCACACAATAAAATCACACCTTATTTTTTCACCTCTTTTTTAAAATCATTTAAGGCAAAGCTACTTGGCATATGTGTGATCAAAACAGCTAGATATAGTTGCTTCTTCTCTTGTCCCTTTCTTTTTTTTTTTTCTTTGTCCAGCAAATAAACTAAAATTATGAGTGCTAAAATCATACATGGACTATGTCAAAATTTGAAGTAAATACCTCAAAATTTGAAGTAAATACCTCCAGATAACCCCATTACTGTGAATGAAGTTGGACAACAAAAAAAATAAAAATAAAAATTTCCAATGTATATCATCCAGAACACAATAGACGTTAAATCAACACAGCACGGCAGCTGGACAGAAGATATAATTGAATGAAAAAATTTGACAACCATCTTTCTCAAAGAAGCAGCAATTCAATCATCCAACAACCAGGTGGGCTTAATCTACCGCATGCTAATGATGTCCATGCAGGTATTCCCTATGATTTACATATTTTGAAGTGCAGTGACCAGTAAAAGGATTAAAGCAGACACTATATTGATTCTTCTAATGAATAGATTGGTAAAATCAATTTCTTAAAATTTCCCATCTTCCGTTTACAGAATATGAAATGTATATCAATTCAATCATGTACAAAACACTCAGTTGAGGGAACAAAATTTAGCACAGTCGCCAATCTCATAATGATGTTATATTATATCAGGTACCATTGACCAGGAACTGTCCGAGAAGGTAGATTGTGGTGCATCATAG